TATAAAGTACAACATAGGAAGTTTAATCAACGCTCTGGATTACCCATAATTCCAAGTCGTATTGTAAAAAATAAAATACTCAATTACGTCGTTCTTTTAAGATCTTTATTGTGGTGTGAAACATATTATGAGTGTATTTTTAACTAACCGTCTAATGAACTATTCACAGTTATTAACGTAGTAATTAACAGTCTCTGCTGTTGGTGTGGTGTTTAAACGGCTCACCATCATCGTGAACTCTGCTCCGCTCATTTAATCGAGTATCAGGCGGGTTTAAGAGGAATTTTTCGTACCATCATGATTGCGTAGGGGGCCATCCAGGAGTCAGTAACTGGGCCCCTAAGAGGTCGGGGCCCCTAAGCAACTGCAGTCTCTGCTTACCGATAGTTACACCATTGGCTGTCTACCGATATAATGATGCCAGAGAAAATCATTTTCAGGATCTCTAGAAGCTCTGCAGTCTGATTCTCTGTTCATCTGAAAACAACAGATCTGTGTTCGTTTTAATCTGTAACTCTGAGTAATGCTCCTCTGAGGAGCCCAGCTTTTTAAACTTATATAAATGTAAACTCTGTTTCCACTTTTAGCTGAAAAAGCTCCGTATGTATAACTAACGGTGGCGTCTCTAATTCTTTAACCAAACCGTCTCCTAACTTTTACTGAAACATCAAAGTAGCTGCTGGTGAATATTCACTGAGTGCTGCTGTAAATAGTGACCCCAAATAATATTATGTCCCATAGAGACAGATCCAATGATGTTTCACTGAGAGGAGGGACTGGAGAGCAGCAGGAGGGCGAGGAAAAAACACCGACTGAAAACGCTCTGAACACAGTTAGCTGCACCCAGTTACTGCTGGCTGAAGGAAATCAGCGGAAATTATTGGTGGGGACATGTCCAGAGGGCGGACCGGTGGTGGTCCAGAGGGCGGACCGGTGGTGGTCCAGGAGGCGAACCGGTGGTGGTCCAGAGGGCGGACCGGTGGTGGTCCAGGAGGCGAACCGATGATGGTCCAGAGGGCGGACCGGTGGTGGTCCAGGAGGCGAACCGATGATGGTCCAGA